ACAGTTTGCAACTATTGAAAAATCGATGATTTTCGCGCCGTCATCGACAGGAATTTGGGCCTGACGTTTCGCTAACACGCATGGCTACCATGCTCGGAGGTGTGTGTCGCAACCGAAGCAAACAATCGCCGAAACACTCGAAAATTACAAATTCCAATTGCGCTTCCATAAGCTAGGTTTCAGGTAGCATGAAGCTGTTGCAAAACATTCCCTATAAGGTCATTTTCTCGGCGAAATATTTGGAAATATGTACAAGACAAAAAAACGTTATTAGTTTAGTAGGTTATTAGTGGTCATACTCTATTGCGTTTCGTTTTGTGGCCAGCGGGACGCTTGACCTTCACTTAAAAATTTAATAAAAAAACCGGTTTAATGCAATATTTACTGCGACAACTCAAGCTCTCCATAAATCAAAGCGGTGCATTTTTCCAAGTGCAGTTCTATCAAAATTATCACGGTTTTACGGTTTGATGTCGGCCCGACCCAATCGAATCAACTCATTGCTGACCTTTAGGAAATTAATCAAGTCACATTTTCAAATAATCTATTAAATAGAATTAACTGATTTTTACTTAATTTAATTGCAGGGCTTTTAACGCTCTCGTTTTCTCGTTCTAATCTAATTATTTATTAATGGCGGTCGCATTTGATTCGCTGCCACTTATCAACTTTTGAAAGTGGATGATTAAAATAATCAAATTCTAGATTTTTTAGCACTCGAAACTACGTTTGACTAGTCGATTTTTTGTATTTTTCCAGCTAATTTGACGGAATTTAGGATGGACAGTTGAAAATGGGCAATTTTATCGCAAAAATGCAAACACGCTTTGCTATAGGTGATAAATATGTGAAACGAACATGACTTATCGGAAACGTGTATTTACCAGCCAGAAAGCCCTGTCATTAGCTTAATAGGATTAAATGGAAATGCCGGGAAATTTATGGACACTGTTGCGAATCGTGTCCAAATCGGAAAACTATGTAGTGGAAAGACGGATTACGTTTAGATCTTTTGCTGCTGCGTGTCGTTGTGTATTTTGCTTGTTGTAAAAAATGCATCAAAAAATTAAAATCGATGATGCTATCGAAAATAGTCCAAGCCAAGGTCACACGAATCTTCATTTTCATTGTTAATATTAATTTAATCAATAGGTGTGTTGTTATTAAGAGCAGCATTGTTGTGTTGATCATGCAGGAACATGATCATAACAGGCTTGCCACGATACCGAATATTTCGCTTTCAAGGCAAATGTGTGTGCTCAATGAATGGGATTCAATAATTTTGAAGCCAAAAAAACCCATTCTTCTCCCGATTTATTCAGTCAGTTACCCTCCCTTAGGGAGTGTCAGTTACCCTCCCTATCCGGTGATCTACAAGCTTCTCCAATTCTCCACATTTTGAAATACGGCCCACATTCCAGCTGAAATTAGTTTAAGTAGTGTGAAGTTGTTGCGATAATATGTTGTTTAATGTTGAGGCCGCAGATGCTCAAGATATTTAGAAACAACAGTTAATGGATAATGGATCTCGGGGGTACAGTTGCTTTGTATGGTTTAATAGCGACATTATGCCACTCCATTACTGTTTGTTGAACTTGTTCTTTGCTCGTTGTCCCATTCATTGTCACCTATTAATTGAATGGGTTGAGTTTTCCTGTGAAATTAATCTAATTGTTTGTCTTTTTCAATTGTCTCAATTAAATACAGTTTGCTAAAGATGTGCATGAAACTTGTGAGTTTTCCATGACTGGCCTAGAAGCGCGAAAAACTCATCAGTTTTAATTGGGCTTGTAGGGTTTTTCAACACATGATTTTTTAAATTTGATTAACATTTAATCTTGATTAAGAAAGATCAAGAAAAATCTGCATATTTTTCAGTTGTATCCAATCCGACTAAGAAGCACATAAAATCAATAAATTAACACCGATTTTGCCTATAAATGAGCAAAAATAATTAGCTTACCGTATACAACGGCAAAATAAACAGTATGATGCGATTTTAATATCTCGAAGATGATTATCATCGACCATAATGGGTATATAAATGATGGACTAGACCTGTATAACACATCGCAAAGATGTTAAGGCCGCCATTCCATTGAAAGTAAAAAATCGTTTAGCATGTCTGAATGGCGCAATATTTAAAACATTCTGAAGGCCGAGATCTTGAATTTTCATCGTTGGACGGCTAAATGAAAATTAGTGTTTATTATCGTAGATTGAGCAAAAACGAAATTAGCATGCAATTTTTTCAAGCACAGTTTATGTGCTTTCATTTGCCTAATTGCTCATCCAGAGGTATTCTCGTGTGGATAGTAGCAAAATGTCTTGTGATGTGGTCGCTATTCTTAATTCCATCCGGTGCATTAAATAGAACACAATTTGTTTTGATGGTGGCTGTCCATGCAACATTAGCCAATAAAATTTAAGTGGCAGAATGCCACTATTATTGAACGATTTACCTGCCATTATATCTTGTGATCTGATTAAAGGTGGTTATTTTGTTTATACCAGCATGAATTGTGCAAATTAATTTTTCAATTTGGCCGCAATGGGCGACCAACTGCTTGAATGCCATTTTCACTACCTTTGGTGTAAAATATTGTTTGAATCAGACTTAAGCCTGACTAAGTTTAGACAAAAAAGTCTCTATTAAAATGGATTTAAAAAGTTATTGGAAAAAGCATCTTGGGAGACCTCAAATGAAATGAATTTTTAAGCTCTATTCACTGTTGTGTGTTTTTCCAAGACACAAACTAATATATTTAGTTTCCACGGCGAAATAAAGCCTCGAACAACTCAAAAGTTTCAAAATAACTCAAGTCTTAACTCCCAATCGGGACATTTTTCTCAGGCAAACAGAACTGTACACTTTTTCTGGAGTGTAAATTGAAACCAGTGCGCTAAACGAACTGAGTCCGTTGAGATACGATTAGTTACGAGTGTAAGAGAGGCGGCACTAGTCGAAAGGGCCTGACCGGGGTCGGTTGCCCGCGCATTCTACACTGCAGTAAAATTGAACTGTTAAATTACCGCTAGCAATTATTTGTTTTTTTTAGAAAATTACAAAATTCAAGTCTTCGCTCCATATTTTTCCACTCCCGAAAAGTTCCCGACTTTCAGAAAATAGGCTCTGGAAATCTGAGACCATTAAGAAAGTTTCATTGTTTTCAGCTTTTTAAACTAACAATAACATTCAATCAAAGGTAAAACGCTTAAATTGCTCCTTCTCTGTAATTTAATAAGTTCGCTCACAAAAAGTGATAACACAAATAACGGGAAACTTCCAGTGAATTTTCGTAGCTGGAAGTTTGCTGGATACCTTTTCCTGCTACAGTGTTTCATTTTTGATAAAGTGCGAAATGGTGCACATAGTTGCGAAACTGTATCTTACGTTCCGTCACAAAGTTGCACTTGAATTTAATTTAAAGTTTCGCGTCTTACAGCTAAGCTGCACTATAGAACTGTCTTGGGTACAAGTATTGTCCTGGCGTTTTAATCAAAAGGTGTTTGCACTAGTGAAAAAAAACGAAGTTTGCTTTAAAATATTAGCTGAAACTTGTAACGTTTAATGCAGGGCTGTGCCCAATTTAGTTCAAAAATAGGGTAAATTACATGAAACTAACCCAAGTAAAGTCAATGGAAACACTGTAAATATTCAGCAAATTTTCCATTTGCAAAACCGCAACTAGTTGGGCGCTAAAGCTGAGAAATTTGAAATATGCCTCGGCTTAAAGTTTTCGTTATTTATCCTTTGAAAGTTTGAAACTGCTTTATAAATCGTTCAGGCTTCTAACCGGCAGAACTTTTATTTATGAAAAGTAGGGCCGACGGAAAATTACAAATTTCTTCAGATTTGTGTGTATTATACAACGTGTGCATATGTGAGAGCAAGAGCACAACTTTAGGAAAATCGCGCCAACTTAAGCGATCGAGAGAAGAGGAAAAATGTTGTAAACCTGAAATAATGGAGGTAATTTATACAGTCTGTGAGAAATTACGCAACAAATTAATAAAAAAATAATACATACACACCTCCAAAGCCAATGTCAAATTCAAGGATTAAACAAGAAGGTCGGTCGAGTGGAGTGCTTGGATGCTTCAGCTTTTCAAGTGAATGTGAATATTTAATTATCGGGCAATATTTTTTTATTTCATTGATTGCAAGATTACGTACTTGGTTTAATATATGTGAAGAATTTATTGTGTCATTTAATTGCTGGTTGTTTTCAGCGATTTAACGATAAATATTAATGCTTTATTAGCAATTTTATTTGAAAAAGTTCCTCACTGCAAAAAGCTGAAGGATAAATGAGACAATGATTCATGTTAAATGCACCCCAGTATCGATTTTCATGTGGTCTATTAATCCAGGCGATCCAATTTCGTTTTTCCTTTTTCCTAGCAAAGCGTTGCTAAATTAATAAAACTGCCGCTGTTAACCTGGCCATCGATCGCACAAATTGGCTGTTAGGAAGTGATAATTCAGTTCACTAGTTCAGCCCTTAATTTTCCATAATATTAACACCGTATTTTGTAATTCTCCTTTATCATGAATATTCAATTGCGTACAGCCGGAGTCAAATACAGCGGCTAAAGTTATTAGGCAAAGACAATGGAAAAAATCAACTGAATGTTGCAGTTTGATTCCCAGATGATTCAGTTAAAACGTTGTTTTTAATACGAAGGCTGATTAAAGTTGAAAATTGCGCCAACTTAAAATGGATTGCTTAAATAATTTCCACGACCCTCCACTGAAATGAAATAGTTTAGTTTCATTTTCTCCGTCGACTCTCCTCCAAAGTTAAAGAGTCGAGGAGTTGAAACTCCAGATGCAAAATGGCTTGAAAGGAAGCGGCACAGCGGATATACGTCTAAGTTTTAATTACATTGAATGGAGTCGTCTTCATCTTAACTCCAGCTAGACTCCGGTCTGTTTCGTAAATACTACATTTTTCCTCGTTTCTCTGATGTATAATTAATCGATGTTTTTGTCTCAGGTTGCTGAACTGATACCAGGAGCGCGGAAGGTGAGTGGGTTCTTAAAGCCATCTGCAAATGTTTTTATAAATTGCTACTTGAACTGGTATTGATTAATAAGGTTTCCTAATTGACACCAGAACTTATTCAAATTACTTGCGCTCTTAAGTTGTTAATAACTGGCCTCGAAACGGTCTATTGAAAGCTGCTAAAGAGTTGCAAGTTTTGACGGTATTTTAAATGTTAAAATTAACTTTAAAGCTTGAAGCCATTCAAGATTCAGTGGGCGTTTTGTAGTCCGCGCTTCTTTGCATAGGAAAATGGTTGGCTTCTTGCTATGTCATAAACAAGCATTGCTTGAACCAGTTTCGAACCTATTAGCTTACAAATCACTTTAGCTGTTATTATCAAGAACGTTTGTGTAATTTTTGCTTTGGAGGACTTCAGACAATCGTTTGGATACTTGTGATCCCGCTTTCGTTCTTTTGTTTCAGTTTTAAATTGGAAAATTAGTTGCCTCCTCCAGGAGTAGTTTTATGCCCGCTTTTAACCGAAAACCCACCCATTCCTGTAATACCTTAACAAAGCAAATATTACGGTCACTAACAGCCTCAACATTAAATAAAGTTCCTCAACTCCACCTACCAATTACATGAACTTCCGATATGTACAAACACAATGGGCAAATGTGCCTAAATGCCGAGATTTTGCTGTTAGGATGAAGCATTGTTTGCAAAACTGTAAATAGTTGCATATTGTGCTCGCATCAAAATATGCTGCGTAAAGCTGTACAAACAGAAAAAAACAACGGCAGATATATGGGTAAATATCGGAAAATGCGCTATTGATATTGATGAACTTTTCAATTAAAACTTATTGAAACAAGCAGGGCTAAACAAGATAATTTGGGCAACAATTTGCTCGAATAATCAAGAGTGAAAAAGTTTATTGGTTTAATTATTTTCGCTCGAATAAAATCGCGCAACATGCCAAATGGTTTTGGTTGTTGTGCATATTTGTATGATTCATGTGCATTTTTAGATTAAATAAATTTTTTGAAAAAAATCGTCAATCCTTGGTAACATTTACGTTACTCCCAATTAGGTATATGGGACGTTCATCTCGTACGAGCCTTGACTTTAAACTTAAGAAAAAATGCAATAACGTATGCAAATTGACTAGTTAAGGTGTCGTTTGTAGTTAATGCACGTGTCCGCCCCATTTATTATAAATCATATTGTGCGCATCAACCTTGGGCAAATTTATTGGGCAAAAAAATTGCATCTGATGCGGTACTTGATTATTTCTTATGCAAATTGTGCTCGATGAACAATGCGAAAAACTCGTGGGCTTGGCGGAGATGTCAAATGGTTCTGGGTCAAGGAGGAAGATGCATTGGAAAAGGACCATCAGCTTTTGAAAATTTTGTTCACTTCATGTGTGATCAGCGTTTCCCTTCCACACCAGTCCATTGATTCTGTCGAAATTTAAACAGCATTTTATTCTGATCAGCTACTAAAGCGTAGCGATGGAACACAGCAATTATCAAATCTCAACAGTGTAAATCTTGGTTAAATGATAAATGTGGCAGGCGCTGACCGTATTACCCAATTAAAATTAATCACACACGTCTTTTGTGCTGCACTGAGGCCATTGTTTGCCCACTTTAGTCCCTAACTGTTTAACTATTAACTTTTATTATTGTTGCCATTTTAAAATCCATTTCATTGCTTCAATGATTTGTTGCCACTTGCTTTTTTAGGGGCTTTGAAAGAACTTGCGGTTTTGTAGGAACAATATTTTCTAGAAAAGAGGAAAAATGTTGGAAAATCATCAAATTAGGCCTCAGAATTTTGCATTGCTGGAGATTAAAGATTAGGAGTTTTGAAATATTTGCGGTTTTGAAAAATTGTTATATTTTAGATCAGCATTTACAAGATTGCGAAAACTTCAAGTTATGAGCGATTTCGATGAGTTTTTTAGGATTTTCAAGCGTTTCCCATAAACGGTGAAACTTTGGTGTTGCTACTTGCTGGAGGCTAAAAGTTGCGGGTTTTTACAAGATATCTGCGGCTTTCTGTTAACGTTATATTTTGGGCTAGCATTCACATGGCGAAAAAATGGAAACTATGCGCGATTTTACTGAACTTTTCACAGTTTGCACACTCAAGTGTTTCCTATAAACGGTGGGAATTTCAGGTTTCAACTTGCTCATAATTAAGAGTTATCGGTTTTGGGGGAAGAAGGTGCAAATTTGTTAAATCCGTCTATTTTAGACTAGCATTTGCAAAGCTGGCAAAAATTCAAATTGTCTTTGATTTGAATGAGTTTTTCAGGTTTTTTTACCCTACTGTTGTTAATATACTGTGAGAATTTCAATTTGCTCCTTATGCACAAGGAGGTTTGCAAGCAACCTTGGTGGCAAGGTTTGAAGTTCGGAGTTTTGAGAAGAAAACTTGTGGTTTTGAAAAAAAATCTATTTTAGACCACTGTTTACAAGCTTGGCAAAAATCTTAATTACTCGAAATTTTAATGAGTTTTTTAAGGTTTGCGTATTCACATCTTTTCTATAGAATGCGCAAATTTCAAGTTGCTATATGCTCGAGGTTGAAAGTTATCGGTTTTTAACGGAGGACTTGCGGTTTTGTGGAAATATTCTGTTTAACACTAGCACTAAGAAGGTTGTGAAAAGTCGGAATTTTGTGGAATTTCAATTAGTCTTCCATAATTGGCACATTAAAGTGTTTTTCAAATACTGTGAGAATTTCAGGTTGGTACTTGCTCGAGGCTAAAAGTTACCGGTTTTTACGGAAGAACGTGCAATTTCGTAAAATCCTCCTATTTCAGAGGAGCATTTATGAAACTGGAAAAAATTCACCAACCATTACAAAGTTGGTTCTAGTGAACAATTGATGCAATTTTTATGAGATTTGTCAGACTTAACGTAAAAATCTTCCATGGAAGATGAAGCTTAGCCGATTTTCCTAGTCAATAACATTTAACTTCTTTGAACGGCTTCATATCAGTGTGATGAAAAGAAGCAAAACAACAATTCTTATTACGTATTTAAGCAAGGTTATCCGTGACAAAACCACGGTCTCCATTTACATATTGGGAGCTATTAGGAAAGGTATTTGACCCGAAAAGCAAATTAGTCTGAGACGTAAATCATACCGGTATCGTTCCTCCCGTTTTTAATCCAGACGTTCAGCAATTGGAAAAAAATGTCTGCAAGAGAGAAAAACATCGACAGCAGGGGAAGAAATCTACTTCCATTTAATGGAAGACGTTAGGAATTGATGAGGGCACCGCTTCAGCTGGAAGAATAAATCGGTTCAATTTGCATAACTGCTCTGTTAAAAACCAACTAATATCAGCAACTTGTTGCATTAGTCGTTTCCAACTCAATTTTTAACGCAATCTATTGAAAAACCTGCATTAACGATCGGGTTAAAGGCTTAAAAAAACCGACTGTTTTCATTGTTGCTATKKTTTATTTAGCCGGATTTTYTAAGCAAAGACAAATAAGGAAGATTTTCYTGTGTGGMATCAACCGAAAACAGRAAAGACTCAACTTAATAAATCTTGAAATTTGCCTTCGAAATTCGATAAATTCACGAAATGTTCACTAATTATTTCTTAATTGGAACTAAGTGATTKAGCTTTGGATAATGCATCTGGGCGTTATTGATAATTCGAATCAAAGCGGGAGCTTTTTCGGATTAAAGTGTTCCGTGAGTCTTGGTTACTCTTTCATCGCTTTGCTATTCGGCTCTTTATTGAATGATTTAGGAAATTTTCTCCGTGAAAAACTGGAATATCTCACATATCCCCGAACACAGATCACCCTTTTCAAGAAAATTTACAGAACAATAAGTTTTAACCAGTTTTAATATGCATTTGAACAACCTTAATTTGACTTTTCATGATCATCGCTCATCAAATGCCATTTTTAACATCAGATTAAAGTGTCCTTTAGCAATAATTATGAACCAGCCAAGCCAATTACAGTGATTAGTTTAAGAGTGGACGTTGGCTATTAAAGTAATGTACAATCTTGTTAGAAGATCCATTAGATGGAAATGCTGCGATTCCTGGTTGCAACGAATACTATTTGAACAAACTCATTTTGAAATTGCACAAATCCTGCTTATACGACCATTAAGGGGAAAATATTTGGCTGCAAGGCAAATTGCTATATTGAAAATTCGCTGCGGAAAATTTGCAAAGTACAGTATTGGAAATGTGTTAATTAATCATTGTTGTTTAACTTGCGTTCACGATAGGATTACTTGAAAAATCCTATATATTTCATAACTAGTCATTAATTTATCGCTGTTGGAAAAATTACTAATTACCTTTGAATGTGTTTAATTAGTGTTCGCCTTTAAACATCGTATAAACACAGAATTTTTAACACCATCAGTAGCAAGTGGAAGCATTTAATCAAGGCATTAAAGAACGATTGACCTGTACCAAGGATGACCACCTGTTTAATATTAAATATCTAGCTAGACTGGTGAATTAACTGGATAATAAAAACACTTCCCTAAGAGCCTGCCTGAATGGTTTATTGCTTACCACTTCGGTGCCATTGTARCTAATTGTTATGTTAAATTGCTTTTGAATATCAATTGAAAAATTAATCATGAGTTAAGGAATATTGATGGCAACATTTACCAGTAATTGTTCCTTTCAGAGTATGCTTTTTATTTTGCTTTGCCACTTAAACTTCCTCCAATTTCTGAAGCTTTTATAATGAAATGCTGATCAAAGCCCATTTTGTGTTTGCCATTATTCTGCATAATAATCTTGAGAAAACACATCTCCCTTGTGAAAATACACTGTGAGCAAAATCAACACCAACTTTATAATTAATGAACTTGCAGACGCATTTTCTTTGCTCTGCTTTTATGCTTTTAACTGTGAATTCGATGTCAAAATCATACAGATAAATATCTATTCATTGTCCAAATTTCCATAATTTTGCTTTTAGAACCATATAAGATTTTCGCGTAGCTTACACTCGATGATAATCACCTTTTATAATCTTGGCACCATTTAATGAAGATTCTTCATGGCTCGTCGAATTTACAATGGAGCCAGTTATCTGGGGACGAAATTTTCTTAGAGGAAACTAAGTGAAACTAAAAGTTGAAACTGATATTACCGGTTTATCTCGCTATCCAAGTGAAACGCTGTTTCAAACTTATCACGGAGCCGCTGAACTGGAATAATAATAATCGTTTGAGAAACTTCCACACTGAAGGTAATAGAAAGAACCATGAAAGAACTCCAGATAATTAATGTGGAAGAGAAAAGAAGGAGGGAACTTGTCCTTTAATTGTTACATAAAGTCGATTATGGAAGAAGTGTGTTTATTTTGTTTTTGCGGTTAGCGGGTTTTAAGAGCGAACTTTTTTGACCAGAATTCACAATGCTGGGGAACATCTAAATGATTGCGATTTTAATTAAATTTTCGGGGATTTTTCACCGAAGTATTTGCTTGAGAACGTTCATTTTTTAGGGTAGATTTTGCAAGTCTGACAAAAATTTACAAAAATGTTGTTCAAAGGTAGAGTGAGAATTTCCTTTTGCTCCCCGAACCGGATTTAAAGTCAGACGATTTTAATCGGTAGCGGAAAGTTGTTTGAAAATATCCGTTTTTAGACTAGATTGTGCAAGGCTGTCAAAAATCTAAATTTAGTCCAATATTAGTGGAACTTTCAGAATTTTTCAGCTGATCTGTTTGCTTTAAATCTTAAAAATTTCACGTTTCTACTTGCTCTTCATTAAGAGTTTAATGCATTTTCGGGGAAACGTGCAGTTATGTAAAAACGTTCATTTTTGCACTAGATTTTGCTAGCCTGACAAAAGTTTAAATTTTGTCTAATTTTAGTGAAACCTTTAGCATGTTTCCACTGAAATGTTTGCCATTTACCTCGATAGTTTCTTGTTCCTGCTTGTTCTAGATCAAAAGTTTAGTTCTTTTCACGGAGAACTTGCAGATGTGTAAAAACGTTCTTTTTTTGACCAGGATTCATAAAGTTGCCATAATTCCAAATTATGTGTGATTTTTTAAAACTGTTTACAAATTTTTCAAAATGATGAGAAATCCATTTTGATTCTAGAGCGAAATTGAAAGTTACGCGTTTTTGAAGTTAGCAGACCGTTTTTTGAAAAGTACATTTTGCAAGGTTTGTAAAAATTGAAATGTGGTTGAAAATGGAACTTTCAGTATTTTTCAACTGATCTGTTGGCTGTAAATCGTAAATATCTCATTTACTTACTTGCTCCAGATTAATAGTTACGGTCCTTTCAGGGAGAACTTTCAGTTCTCAGAGTAAAAACGTTACTATTTTTGACCAGAATTCACAAAGATGGCAAAATTCCAAAGTATGTACGACCAAAAAATATATGTAAAAAAGTGCCACTTAATTTTTTTGTGGAATGTTGTGGAAAGTGCGAATTTTATTTTGCTCCCCGAGCCGGATTAAAAGTTAGACTTTTTAATTCATTTTTAGACTAGATTTTGCAATGCTGGAAAAATCAAAATTTTGTCCAATACAAATGGAATTTTGAGAATATTTCAACTGATCTTGTTGCTCTAAACCCTGAAAATTTCATGTTTACCTTGTACTTACCATGTTACTAATGTACTCTTGATTAAAAGTTTGATGCTTTTCAATCAGAACTTGCAGTTGTGTAAAAACGTTCATTTGTTGACAAAAATTCACAAAGTTTCCAAAAATTTAAAGTATCTGCAATTTTACTAGGGTTTTTGAGGGGTCTTCCACTTTATGGAACGTGAGACATTCATTTTGCTACCTAAAACAGATAAAAAGTTAAGCAGTTTTACATCAGAATTCAGAAAGTTGGCAAATTTCCAATTTAGGCTTCTTTATAAGCATCTTCAGTGTGTTTACACTCAATTTCCTTCTATCGACTGTAAATTTTTTGTGGTGCTACTTACTTCTGAACATAAGTCAATACAATATCACATAATACAAAACTTTCACTTTCAACGTTTACAAGCCTGGCAACATTCAGATTTCTGCTCAATATCAGTGAAACTACCAGGAAGTTCAAACTGAAGTCTTCGCTATCGACTGCGAGAATGTCGTAATTCTGCCCGTTTTAAATCAAAAGTTGCAATTTTATTAAAGAGACTGTGAGGTGGTTGGAAATCTTTGATTTTTAAATCAACATTTACCCGGTTGGGAAAAATCACAGTTTGGCGCAAAATCAATAGAACTTCCAGGACATTTTTACTGGAGTTTTGTCTATGTCGTGTGAAAAGGTCATGTGTCCAGATCCTCTGAGTCGAAAGTTACGAATTTTTAAACGCGAGCGTGCATTTGTATTGTAGCCGCCATTAACTCCATGTGATTTATTACGAAATTGCCAGTATTAAGGTTACTGATAACGCTTCTAGAGTTTCTTAACCCGTGGAAACCATTAGCCGGGTTCACTTTTGGAGGCTTTTCACCTCTGGAAAGTTAGCAACAAATTCCCGGATGCGAAGTTTGCTTAGACTCTTCCTCACTCTCAACGCGAAATAGTCGAAGAACGTGCGGCGAGACTGCAATTTATTAATGCGGAGGGTGCATTCCTTTCACGTCTTTTAGCAGCTTCTTGGCTCTTTACATCGGCAAATTAAAATTCACAGTCGATTTGCCACTGAAAATAACATTTTAATTGGTGCAACGCCGGCAATGAAATCTTAGTCATGGAAAGCATTTCAATTTTCTAGATAAGAGTCTGAAATTGTGTGTTGTAATGTAAAAGTATTAAATAAAGTGCCCAAAGGGAGCCCAACGTTAATTCTCGCAAATGTATTGCACAGATCGTGGCACGGACAATAAGAAAGCGGGATAATACGTTTCCAATTTTCCAGCCGGAATTTCGAATTCGAGTAAAACTCTTTTGTAAATTACGGCAATATGTGCCTGCCGCGAGACGGATGAAAAAGATTACGGGAATCGCAGAATAATACTTTGCCAGCTCGACTGTATTGTGTTTAAATACTGTATTGTGAGAATGTCGGCTCTATGCAGCATGTCTGAACTATCTTCAAATTGCGAGGAAATTTCCAATGAGGGGCGCAATTTTAGTTTCATTTAATAAAATGAAATAGCACACAGAACAAGCAAAAGCTTGTTCTTTTGCTGTTTTTTTCTGATCTGAAAAGTTTTGGCGACAATAATAAAAAATTACCATCTTCATGATCAAACGTGATGTTCTAATAATCAAACTGAAGTGAAAAGCCGTTTGCCATTTAATTAACAGCGAAAACATCGGCCACTTCATATTTAATTATCAAAGTGCCTTAGCGGGAACGTTTGCAATAAAACGGGGCAACTTTCGATTTTTTCCTTTTCAGCCACAGGCGTTCAATACCACAAATTAAATTCCATAACGTGCTGGGCATTTGATTAGAATTATCACTTAATTCAGAGGAAATGCGAATAAAATCAGCATTTTCTCCTGTTGAACAGTGGCTAAAAAAGTGTTTTTTTTTGTCCAAAACAAACTAGTAGTGAAGATTTTTTATCTCGAGCAAACTTCTCTAGTTGAACCACCTCAACTGGTTATTTAAAACCATACCAAACATTTTTATGCATTTAATCTGCTCCTACCACTAATAATTGGACATGCTTAAAGCTTGCGTTTGCGAGTAAATTAACCAGCATAAAACTTAAATGTGTATGAAAACAGAAAAGAGGAATCTTAACAGCGCTTAGGGGTTTAAACCTAAAGCTGAAATCGAATGAGCTGCTAATATTGAGAATGAGGCGCCCGTCTATTGTCGTCGACATAAGACGTCTTTTGTGCTGGTTTTTCTCGGCTTACGTTCCACCCTTAACTATTATACCTGCATCTTCCATCGACCTAGTTATGGAAATATTCCTTGAAATTTCTGTGGGGTAACAAACATATGTGTGCTCTTTCAACGCTCTTTCTCTAATTCTCTAATTAGCCAAAATCGACACTTTCCAGTAGTATTTCGATAATACGGCAATTTCCGATGTCTGGAATAGTGTGCAGTTCCGATTTAACACTAAGTCAGCGTGAGTTGCAATTTGCGACCGAATTCAATGTACATGGGTGGCAATGAATGAATTCAGATTTGTTGAGTGAATGTTTGGATGCTGAGGTGAATTGATTATGTGGTTTCCCTATTGACGGGGCGAATAATAACGGTATCCAGGAAAAGCGCCGCATGTGAACTAAATCGTCCGGAATCGCTTCACAATTGCCGGTAAATATGCAAGCACAACCAATAGATTGTAGATTATGTTGATTATGGAAAATATCACTGAGTTTTACTTATATGACCGGAAATACATGGGAAAACTTCCGAAGTTTTTAATTTCCCTCGAATTTATTGTCTTCATGTGGCGTGAATTAGATGGATTTTGTTTCACTCGCAAAACGAAAAGCTGAAAAAATTGGAATTAAGTCGATTTTATTGAGACCAATTGAATCTTGTAGAAAATAAATCGTTTACTTTTTTCGAACTTCCTATGCTCAAAATAATTGATTAAGCTTGAAGAAAAGACAAGTACAATTGTGATTTGTGCTCGACCAACTTGTAGTTCATCCAAGTTTTTCGGGAAATTTTACGTGTCTGATTTTCGAGTTCTACTTAAGAAGTACAGTAAGGAAACGATTTAATTTATTTTTAATATTTTAATTTATTTCAATAAAATGGACTTTATTTCAAGATTTTTGACCAAAAATCGACATTTTATGCGTGTTTTTTGACAGCAATGAATATTTTTCGTCCTAAGAAATTTCCCAATATACACACAATTTGAATCTACCGGGTGTTTTTCCAACATTTCACAAAACGATTCATCAGGTATTTTTAAAGTAAAAACTATAATTTTATTCTCAATCCATACGTTTCTTTATTTAGAAATATTTATTGAATGATTAGTGCTTGAACATCACAGAGTAGTTCTTATAATAAGTAAAATATAAAGAAAAGTCCGGAATTTTTTTGTTGCGCAAACTATGTGGCAGTTTGATTGTAATATACATTACTAGAAGTTGTAGTCGTGCTAGTAGTCGTGGTAGTAGCAGTGTAATAGACACTAACTCGGAAATCAAATCCTTTACTCTTTTGGGACTCCATATAGAGTAAGACGTAACGGTATCCAACGCCGCCGCCTTGAATTGATACGTAGCCGCCAACGTCGTCATTTTCCTGGTTTAACACCTAAATTTTTCAAGAACGTTAAGAATACTTTGCAAAAAAAATGCAAAATTTCTTACGGAAATACACGTAATATCACCATCACTGAAACCAATCTCAGGGATTCTAATGGTTTCCTGTTTCACATGCGCCCATTCCGCTTCTTCTCTTACTTCTTTGTCATAAAGAGCCACTCTAGAGTTAATAGATACAAGAAAACGTAATTTTTTCCAATAAATACTAGCTTTTTTAAGGGTACTTACGGATTACTTCCTGGATTCAAGCAATCATCGATATAATGATCCATAGAACTCACGAAAACTGAACTTCCATAGACCACAAAAGCCAAAGTTACCAACAAAACCGCTAATCTGTACATTGTGCAACAATTGGAAAAAATCAATCGAATAACGACGCGGGTTGTTTAATTGCGGGTTTTTTTCCAAACGCAGTGCTTTTAAGCGGCTCTTTGGAGCCAAATAGCAGTCAATATTTGCATCAGATAAGACATTGATTTGAGTGTTTTTTTCATTAGCGAGGTAAACGACAATTGCAGCACTTGATATACCGATTGTGACAAATCACCTAATTACATGAAATTAAACGTGTACAGAGGAAAATTTTGAAATCTATTTAAACGAAAAACGCAAATTGACACCCTCAGATGCTGCTTACAATATTACGCATGCTGTTTGCTATAAGTATATTCCAATTTTAAGTTCTTGTGAGAAGCGCCGAAGATCCACAAAAAAGAACAAGTCGTTTTCATTTATAGTTTATTGGTTGATTGACATCAATACTGAAAATCTCATTTATCGGAATTCTCGATAAGAAAATTCCGAAAGATTTGTAATTACATTTATTGATTATAATTATCACACTGTTACATCCTTAGCTGTGGTAGCGTTGTTGTAATAAACACTAACTTGGAAGTCAAAGCCTTTGCTCAATTGGGATTTAAAGTGGAAGGTAACGAATGTGCTTCCAACGCCTCCAGTCAAAACACTTACATATCCGCCATTTTCGTCTGTTTCCTGATTGATTACCTAAAAGTACAAGATTCCATTTTTTCAATTTTACATCGATTTTGTGGTTGTTCTTACAGAAATGCAGGTGATTGGACTGTCGGTGAAGCCACTGGTCGGAACTCTCACAGTATCTTCTTTTGTAACTAGCAGTTGACCTTCTTCTCTGACCTCTTTGTCGTAAACAGTTACGCTAAAATATAGACAAAAAATCTGCAGGCGAGAAAACTTGCTAGTCTTGTCATGATATCAATTGCACTAATTTCCAACCTAAACTAGTTTAATTGAGTGCTTGAAACTTATACTTACGGATTGCTTCCTGGATGCAAACAATCATCGTAGTAATGATCCTCCGATCCTATAAATGCTGTAAACCCATTGGACGCTATGGTTAAGATTAATGACAAAACTGCTAGTTTATACATTTCAAGCCTACTAAATGAGACGAATTGGCAAAAAGTACACTGTGGCTGACTGATAGACTGATGGACGTTTTATACATAAATGCTCCAGACAGTAATTGAAAAACGTGCCCTAAAACAATCAGTTATCGAGTTGTTATCGAGATTTTTCAAAAAATTGTAAAAATGTAAGAAAACAGAAGTTTTAAGAATTGGAAAAACATTATTGACAATTTATCAGACACCATACACTAGAACTAGTAGGCAAACACTTCAAAACTATCTTATCCAGATAACGCATTAATAATTCTTCCGGATATGCAGCAGACAAAATCGAGTGGATGTGATTTTGAAGTACACCCTCAAACACTGTTTTGATCAATCAATGGATGTTTTCAAAAATGTGTAAGAACTATGGAATTTTTGTCCGGTTTGCATGACAAGGATGTGAGAAATGCAGTGGATCCCATTCACAAACCGCGAGCATCCGAATAAAAACACACGTCTGAAGATGTAAGCCACTCGTGCTTGAGAAACTTCAAGAACTGTTTTTACGACCGAAAAACTCACCAGTTTCAAGCAATTCCCGCAATAGTCTAACTTTTGCGATTGGAAGAGATCATAAGCGAATAGAAAAGTCGCTCAAAATTGCCCAAAATGTTCGGTAATTTTGAATAAAATCATCTAGTGTGTCAACTATTGTGCTCCTTGAATTTTTCGCTGCTCGGCAATAAACAATTTTCCCAATCTTTTGTCAAATTGGTGCATTTTGACCAGACTCGCAAAACTGTAAATTTTTTCAGCAGTGTATATCGAAACCAACCCATGGAACGAACTGAGTGTTCTGACATACGTTGAGCTGCAAGTGTGAGAGAAACAGCATGAGTCAAATGGGGCCGACCGGGGCTTGGGCGCTTCCCAATCTACACTGTAGGAAAATTGAACTGTTTCCAAAAAATTCAGCCCGTGATTATTTAAAGCGTATCTAAAACTGGAATTGCTCAATACACTTGAAATAATACCGGGAAAAAAATCGAAGTGCTCAATACGCCTCAAGTAATGCACAGTATTCATTGATGCATCGTGATGCTGATGAAAAACCACATTAGACGGTTTTTAAGCGATTCGATTCTTAGCCGACGATATAATCTTGATTGTACACGCAAACACTCATTGAGCTACTCCAACGACGGTGATTCCTTCACAAAAATCCATGAGAGATAATTATTGGCCAATTAAAAAACTTAGGAATCAACCTTTTTCGGGCCATTGATCGATTTTGTGTAAAATCCTAATGCACCCCAATTATGTGACAAACTCTTAGAAACTTTTTAACACCTGAGGTTCAAACTCGTAATTGCCCCCGATTATATTTGAAAAGTTTTCAGAGGGGCTGCGATATTGGCGATTTCCCCTCATCTACGAATACGGAGCAAATTCGAAGTCATTGTCTCCGATATAACACAGAGTGGTTCTAGTTCTAGTTTAGAGAAAAACCAGTCTTGTTCTTCTTAACTGACTAAATCCCTCGCTTGGTGATTTTTTTCAATCGCCACCCTCAAAGGCAGGCAGATTATAAGGTTAGGGCTTATTTTAAACCGCATTGTGCTCTTTCGTCGCCAACAAATCTGTTGCTGCGAAAGCTGTTTCCGTAGCCGCAAAATTGAAAAATTCTACACTTTATTGATATAATATATATCTTAAAATCCCATCTTTGTAAGTAATCCTTCGAGAAAGGAGGATCTACCACGCGAGTCATCTTTTATGTATTTTATGAGTTTCGGCTTCTTGCAGAGTTAAATTCGCCAACTCAAGAAAAATAAGGTTTTATAGTATGTTTGATTTTGTAATTTCTAGAAAATTTTGCTCTCGTTTAACTTCAAGTAAATAATAAGTTTTCGAAATTATAGATGCAGGTCTATCTGTCTTACTTTGAATTGTTCCTAGTCATTAACGCTGTTTGCTCTTGAAAGCAGCAATACATTGAAAAACACGTGTTTATCCCATTTCGCGTTCAGCAGTCGCGCGAATAAATTTAATATAACTGGCTATTGACAGAATTAGATGAGTTTAAATAAGTCTTTTGATGCGGGAAGCAGAAAAACAGCCCATAAATTCCGTTCTATCTTGCTTTTCTCGAAAAACATGTTACTCTTGGAAACCGGCTTTCGCCTGCTGAAAAACGGCCATCATTTTTCAGCGAAGCCGACTTTCCTGTAATTCATTTTTTTATGTTTTTCCTGTCGGGAGACATATCTCCGCAACACCTCACTACTTTTGCCTCCCAGAGATATTAAATTGCGTTTTTCGGTTACGTTTCTTATATGAGCCACGTTTGAGGACTTACTATGTCTCTGCGATTTATTGCAAAGCTTTCCGTGAATTATTAGTTTTACACCATCCACTTTTTGATAGAGTTTTCTTGCCCAACCTGAATACATAATCTCTATTAAAATTTCTCTATATGAAATCGTTCTGGTGTATAAAAAAAAACTTTTTGGATCAAGATTAGTAGGTACCACTTGAGATAGCAATTTTCACTAATAATCAGCGGGTTTTTGGGGAAAAATTTACAGAACTACTTTTCATTTCTTTAATTTTCATTGAGTTCAAAATTTCATTTTTTTGCCTCTAAAATTTGTTTGAAATCGACTAATTTGAACAGAAAATTTTGAAATCAATGTGCTGAACGCCCATTAGTTCCATCCACTATTAAACTGCGTCGGAATAAACAAAAATTTCGCATTCACTTTGTGCTTTGAGGGTGATACTTAAGAAAACAGCAGGAACAACAACAAACGCGTATTTTTATTTGTTCGTGACAACCTTTGTAAAATTGTAGCAGTTTATACATTGCCCGAAAGCCATTTTAATTACGCTCTTTCATGTCTGGACGGTTGCAAGGGTTATTTTAAATTGCATTTTCCTATTTGAGCGTCGGCTTAAGTAGCTGCAAAACCCTACAACGAATTCGATTTTTTCTCAGTTAAATATAAATTAAATGCCTCGACATGTGGATTATCTGGCTGGTTGGGACTTGCCAAAGCGGACTGCTTCAAAGGAATGGCAGGCGTTAAACACTCGTCCAGGCTTAAGCTCAACTTGAGATCATACAGAGGAAGAAGTTTGCTAGGCATCAAGGAGAACGTGAAAAATTTGTGATTCAGCTAGGATTTTGTTTTGTCAAAGTACTGCACACTTTTGTTCCAAGTTTATATTATTTCAATGTTTGCTGCTGCGAAAGAATCACTAGATATTTATGTTCAGAGTTATAACAAATCATCAGTGTTATTTTATAAGGTGAAATAAAAGACACATTTTTTTGCAGATCAGAACTTGGAAGCACTGTACCTTAGACTTTGGTGAGTTTGAAACTTTAGAATCGTTAAATACGAATCAAGAGCATTCTGATGACTATCGCATGTTTTTTTTTAACATTTTTACTTAAACCCAGTCATGAGCGTATATTGGGTAGTAGTCGCCCTTTATTTTTTATACGTATTTTTTGCTCCCGTTCCTACCAAACGCTCTCCTCGAGCAGCCCTCCCATCTTTTTGATTTCCTAATTAAATTTATTTTATCGCCAAATCCCTGCCCGGAAATGTGATAAATGTCCCCAGCTATTCAAGGGGGAGATCTTTGTGTAAATCGCGAATAAATGACATAAATTTCCTAATAAAAGTACCGCTCGAAATGATCAGATTTATCATGAAAGCAGCTTACGGGTCCTTTGTACTGAGTAGCAGATTTCGACCTTTGTTGGCCTAACAGATACTGGATTTGGTTAAATAAAATAAAAATTCCTGGCTATTGGTTATACTCTTCCTAATTTTGTCCATAATTACATGTATTCGAGTTGAAGTATCTTTTCTGTGAATCTTTGAGAGCATTGAGTTTATATTATTCCGGAAATCCCTTGAAAACACCGCCCGAGGTAATTGTATTAATATTGCCGGTAATTTAGATTTTACCCTCAAATTCCAGGTAAACTCATTACTTTGGCCCCATTTCTATCATGCCGTACTTTCAACGGAGGGAGCGTTCGGCGGAACTAAATTATGTCCTTCCGACTGCTTTTTAAACAGACTCGCTCCCTGAAATCGGCTGACAAACATACAAACGTTATTAATTTGTTAATTGTTTATTAAATTTTAATTAGCATCGCACACACCAGAAGCTTTAGTTCATTAGTTCAGTCCACTCCATCAGAATCTGTTTTTGGAAAATCATCTTCAGATAAATCCGTGGGATTCTCATTCTTCTCCACTATTGTCGAGCGCTTCACATTCGAGCCAATTCTATCCAAGGCTGCATCGAAAATGTACCTAAGTGAATATTTAGCAATGCTGCTGGTTGTAGATATTTTTGGCGCAGCTGAAACCCCCAAATCATTGCCGCTGGTATCGAAATCCACGTGCGGAATCACCGTATTATAATCGATAGTAACCGCCTTCTGCCTATCATTGTCCTCCTGCTCCCCATTTTCCGATGGTTCTTCAAATTCGCCTTCGTCTAGATCTTCGAGGTAAGCAGCATTCTCGAACTCAATATCCTGCACGAAATCTTCCCGATTGTCATCTGCCATTTTCTTCATTATTTTACGCGTGTAGTAGCCCTTATAGGCCGACTTAATCAAGGTGGCCGCCCTATTAGCTTCTTCATTGGTCACTCCGGTTTTCCTGTAGAGGTGAATTGCACTTCTAGCAGCAACTCGCCAGTCCACCATGCCGGCTAGAAGCAGTTTCTCCCGTTCTTTGCGCTCCTTGAATCTGAAAAGGCAACATTTCCACCCCGTAAATCTGGCTACACTAGAGGCAACTATTTATTGTCCCCCGGTAACGCCGTAAATAGCTTCGAGTATCACGAGTCGACTCGAGGGTCTTTGTTGCAATGCGAGGGAGCGAGAGCAACATAGCGGTCGCCCTGAAAACCAGTCGATCAACGTTCCACCTGCCCGGTATACCGGAGCTGATCGTTAAGTTGTTGAAATAATCATGGATTACACAGTACAAGTGAAGATATAGAAGATGAAGTTACGCGATCAAGCAAAATACTGTACCGTGGATGGCCGGGTATCAAACTCTTTCTTCAGCTTCCAACTTTTATTCACCTCGGTATAACTTTAAATACGGAACAGGAACAAACTAACTTGAAAATGACCGTCAACTTCACAAACAATAACAATAACAGACGGAAAACTCGCTCTTCCGACTCGCGGGGTTTAACCTTTTCTGCACCCGGTCGTTGCTGTCATTTCACTCCCTCCATTGTTCTCGTCGCCGCTTATATAGTTTTCTCCAGGTAACCCAGAACGTTCTCGAAATCTCCAGCCTAGGTGCGAAATTTCCCGCTTGGCAGTGTCATATTTGACAGTAAATGGGGCCCAAATGGGGCTCCCATTTACTGAAATACCATGAATTTCGATCCCCCCAATTCAAACGTGAGTACCCCAGGCCATTTCCGTTACAATACCTTCTATACGCCTGTTGGATCACGATGGCCGCAATTTCGGCCTGTTCCGGAGCCAGTTGAATCTCAGTCAATATACCAGCCACTACATTGTGTTCTTCAGTGTCTTCACCTTCCACTTCTCGGTTTTCTTCGGAATCGATGCTTCTCTTGAAAGTCCTTTGAATGGCCGACACAATGTTGTCGATTTCGTCCCTTGGCATGCCAGTTTCTTCCAGGAAAATCGCCGTTGTTGTGGCCATTTCCGTGAGACTTTCCACCAATCTGGAACGACCAAAAATCTGAAAATTCTGTAGGGTCGATGGGCCTCTAAATGTCCACACCGCGCTGCAACTCGAGCATTTTCTCTTGTAATCATTAAGGCGTCCAGATAGTCTGCTACAAAAGTGTACACGTCCTCAGGCTGACTTCGTAAGACTTCGCGTGATATGTCGCTCATCAACTCCCGAAGTCCATCTGGAATAACGTAGATGTATCGCGCGCAATGTCTTTGCAGCATTGATTCCATTTTGGACCCAAAAATTTACGGATTTTGGCAGTTGTTTGTCATATAGAAGTTAAGTTGAATGGTTTTTGATTTATTTAGATCGTTTGGACAGTTTTCGCTGGCACTCATGGCTAACGTCTTCATGGGTGTGTTCGATTCGACTGCAAATCATCACTTATTAGCACCGAAAACACGAGAATTTGCCGGATTTACGAGTCCAGCGAGTCAATTTCCCCTTAATTTTACAATAAAATATTTCTTTCATTTGCGTGTTGTCATGTTGAATGTTTTACTGTAATTACCACTTTAAATTTTTAAGAATGTTTCAATTTCACATTTCAATGCCGTTTTATTTTGCACAAAAATTCCCCATACCGAACCTGTTTAATCGGGGGTTTCAATGAAATGTTAGTTGGAAAAAATGAATAGACTTGGCTGGTTTTGGCTGTGACTCCTATAAAATGAGAGTGAAATTGGCGCAAAAATAATTTTTCGAACTTTGCCTCGTTTAAGCTTGAAAATTGCAAGCGGTCAACATATATATCAATTTGGAACGTGGCTGTGCACGGACTATCGGGCATCCCTTACAGGCGCGTATGTGTCCGAGCGAGAGAACCGATGCGGGCTACGTTCTCAAATGGAAAAATCAGTTTCGTTTGATTAAAATCGAATCATGAAATGCACACATTCAATACGCTGAAGATGCCAGTTAAGAGTCCTAGCGAAACGTCGGCCTTAAACTGCAAAAATGCCGATTGTTCAAGCAAAAACGAAATCTCGGAAGAATAAATTAAATTCTTCATTTTTTTAAAAGCAGACGTTGTGTCATCCATTATTCACAATTTATACAAAAATCGCATTTTTCCAGTCAATCCTGACTGAACGGATTATTAAGCTGCACGATGGCTGCAGGATTAGCTTCGGTCCGTCGAATTATCCGACGTAAAGTGGCAGGAAAATACTGAAGTGCTTCTACCAGTCAAGCCATTTTATTTGTCTTGTTCATGGTTAACCTAGTATTTACGGGTTTGATTATGGTCGCTTTATTGAATCATCCAGTGATCTTCAGCCGCGGGTTCAAGTGAGAAAAGGTCCTTTTACTCAGGAGCCTGTACAAATATCAATACATCGCCCAACTAAGCGATCAAGGAAACTGAAAGCAAACTGTTCAAAATGAGTTGTCGGTTTCCTCTAATATAGCAACTTTCTTTATTGCTTAAGCGCCACTAAAAGATCGCGTGGCACATAGATATTGTGCAATATCCAAAAGCTAACGATCAAAGTTTCGAAATATTCCCGGACAACTCTCGACAGAGCCTTGTAAGTTTTATCTCGACTTTTGCCGCTTTTTCCTTCTTAGATCCAGCGCAAGACGTGCCTTCGTGCAAATCTCCTGTGGCACGTAGAAGAATATAATGAAGTTTTATAAATTCACCAACCAATCCATTTCATTGCAGCCGAATTTTAAATGAGCGAAAATTGAGCATTTACTGTTGGATGCAAAGGATTTGCTTTTTTTTAACATTTTTTGAACTAATTTTACTCGAAAATGTACTCAGTGATTTTGCGTGCGCGTAAAACAGTTCTACTTGCTCAACTAACGGAAATTGTCGCGACTAGAAACTCTCTTGGTTTTAAAGTTCAAAGACAAACTAGCCGTCGCTCACATAGCGCCGAATGTCTTGTATACGTGCTTTAGTGGTCTCGACATTTTCTATTTATTTCGCAACTTTTTGCCTTTAGCAAGAGTTACCAGCTCGGAAGCCTTCTCAGGGCAATAAGTTTGTCAACTTTGTAACGTTTTTGCTAACTTTTTTATCGTGTTTCAACCACCAAAAGTTCCATGGAAAATGTGCGCTTTAGACCAAAAGTTCTAGTTGATGATTCGACTTGAAACACATGATAGAGAAATGGTAAAACACACTCAAAGACGTATAAAAGCATTTCAAAGGACGGGCTTGTTTCCTACCCTTCTCACGAGGAAAACGTTGGAATTTCAAATTAGAGCCTGAGCAGGGAGCAAGTGAAAAGTTTTGGTGTGTAAGCCCCGTTTCATCTAACTTTCGCTTTTTTATCCTGGTTTTGTAAACGACGTGTTCGGGAATTTTTGGCAGTAGTGAGTCCAAAAGGTCCAGGTGTGCTCGAATTTTTTTGGATGCTTTCATTGGATGCTCGAATTGCTCAAGTTCCAGCTTTAGTCGCTCTAGGATTTCGGCAAAGTCGCTTACGCTTGAAGTGCCTCGCAAAACTCGCAATTTTTTCAAACGTTTTTGATTGAAATCCGTCTGAAATTCATTGTGTTTATGCACATTTTTCCCCTTTCCAATGAGGCAAGAGCAGAAATAGTAAACCTGCTCCTATGCAGTGTACTGTTTTTTCTATTGCTCCATTGGAAAGGGGGCAAAAATAGTGGACAACCAAGATTATTTTCAGAGAGCGAATGTGGATATACAGGGTGAATAAAGAATGAAGAAAATTTCGTTAACTTGACTGAACTAATTCTGCTCAACTTTGCCCATCTGGCGAATGTTTTGGCGTGGAAAAATGTAGACGTAATGACACCAATTATGTAGATTATTAATGAGCGCGTTAGCAGAATAGCGAAACTATTTAAAACTCCGTTAGTTTGAGTTTGTTCTGGAAAAATGTGCGAAAATGCATGGAGGAAAGTTTTCCAATGTGTCCCGCATGCCAGACAGGAAAACTTAACTCGTAACTTGAGCTTGCTCGAAAAAAGCAGGAATCTCGCAATAAGCAAATTGCACCTTGCTTTGCGAATTAAGCGCTCATGCGAGAAAAATGGTGGCAAATTTTTCCGTCTTTCAAAAGTAGCTGTACAGCTTTGGTAAATTGAGAAACTTCGGCGATTTTCTTTCTCAAGTTTCTGCCGGCTAAAATTAGTTCGAGATTGGAATATGGACTCCGGTTCAAATGAAGGGAATGAAAAACGAGGCACGTCCTTTCAGGAAATTGAAGAATCATAAGTGAGATCGTGTTTTATTGGGTACGAGTTATTTTCATCCCGGCAATTTAATGGGATTTCTGGATATTCAGTAAAAGAGACGTATAAATGTTGATGTTTTCTTGCCAAATGAATAGTTCATTGGAACTGGCTCAGACAGTAGAATACATGCAAATAAACCCCCAACCGAACTGGAAGATGGATGCTTTGTAAAGAAAATTACTTCCCAAATGGTCTCCGCGAATTTATGACCGTGCAATATCCAAGTATCTGACAAGCAAATAGAGTGAGCCGCGGGCATTTGTTACGGCATAATGTGTAGATCCCCGCAGCTATTATTTAAGGCCCCTGAAATATATATACTAGTAGTGGTGTAGAGAACCTCTACACCGGTTGGGTAACGTTGACATATGGACACCTTCCATCGGGTTTAACAGAAAATATGTAGCACATGCGGCACAGAAATTACCCGGCGCCAAACTCTTCCAAGCTAACCATTAGCAAATCCCCAACGTCTTAATTAAAGGAGAAAATCCGGAAAACTTTGGCCGGCGGGAACCGTATTTTCGAGCCACACATCGGTGTAAATCAATGATAAAAGCTATCGAACGGGCACGTAAGTAGGCTTCAGGTTCAACGGCAGCTTTTTCCTGGAAAGCCGTATATTTGCTCGGAGGGCCCGGTTGCTGAAAAAGTGCGGAAATGCGAAATCAGAAGGCGTTATTTATTGAATCACTGTGTGCCCTTCAGTCGGAATAAGAATGTATCGCTTAGAAGTCGGCCCCCCGAAAACGGGACAAACTTTCACAGCAATATGCTAATCTATATAAATGCAGAAGCTCCGGAACATCCTTCCGATCAATTCAAGTGATTTAGTAAATAAAAAGTATATAAAAACCGACTGTTGCTTACAGGGTGGTTAAAAAATGCACGTTATTCTTTTGGAGGTGTGGGGAGAATAATAATTAACAGGCCCGTTTTAAGAACCCAATCGAATTTTAAGCAAGATTTTGTCGGCCAAAAACCGTTTAAAATGAGCCAAAAATTTCGATTATTGCGTATCTAAAGTTTTTAGCGGGTTTTTAATGCGCTCTTTGGATTCTCGCTCGCTTATTGGCTTAAAATTGGTCAAAAAAATTGATTATTTCAGATCTGGAACATCTGGCGTGTTTTTAAATGCGATCTTTGCACACCTCTCCTTCTTCTGAAGAAAATTATGAAAAATTCGGGGCATTTTGAGTCAATTAAATGTTTTTCAAAAAAATTGACCGGATTTTTTGAGCTCAATCGATTGTTTGCGACTTAAAAACCTTCTCGATAGGCATATATGAAATTTTTGGGTCTATAATATATAATATAATACCGTTGGGTAAAAATCGGGACTTCTGAACAACCGCTTAAAATTGGCTAAAAATATTGATTATTTCATATCTGAAACTTCTTGCATGGTTTTGAATGCGCTCTTTGCATTCCTCCCCTCCTTCTGATGAAAATTATGCAAAATTCGGGGCATTTTGAGTCAATTAAATATTTTTCAAAAAAAATCGACCCTTTATGAAATTTGAGGGTCCATCGATTGTTTGCGACTTAAAAACCTTCTCAATATGCATATATGAAGTGTTTGGGTCTAAACTAAGAAAAATATTGTCCGCTAAGGATCCGGACTATTCAACAGCCTAAAGTTGGCCAGTGTTTTTCAATGCGCTCTTTGCATTCCGCCCTTATTTCTGACGAAAATGATGATAAATTCGAGGTATTTTAGGCAACTTCACATTTTTTCAAAAAAAACGAGTTTCACCTCTCCACGAAATTTTTGCGTTAAAATTCAAACTTCACCTACGCGTTTTTTGAGCTCAATCGATTATTTTCCACTTAAAAACCTTTTCAATATGCAAACCGGCAAAAGCGTCATTTTCATTCCTCGCTTCTTTCTAAAGAAAATTTTAAAGAATTCGCGTGAAGCAGTCGTTTAGTTCCAAAATAAAAACGAATCCTAGTAATGGATACCAGTTAAAAACACATCACGTAGGCCATTAATGGACTGTTATTTTAAAAGACAAAATATATAAATGGAATCTATGGCTGCTGAAAAACAAGGGGAAATTATGTAATTCCAATTCAATTTTTCCGCTCGCGTCGACCCATAAATTCTGATAAACTGTTGAATATCCAAGATAATCGTATTTGTTCAGCAAACTGTACGTGATGATCATCAGCGAAGTAGACTTTACGCCACGTTTTCGCAATTCCTCTCTTTCAAA